CAAATAGCATATATGAATTTTGAAATAAAATAGGGACATTTGAAACATATCTCAAGTTTAAGCAACAGTAGTAATGTAATGCATAAGTGAAACCAATATACGACTAATAATTCATTCCACCATAAACCGTTTCTCCCAAGTTATTGCGGAATCTCATACTTTCCAAAATTCTTGTATAAACTATTTCTGGTACAATGAACAATAATACACCACTGTATTCGTATCTCTGGTCTGAACTAAGATCTCACATGAGTATGTCCACATACAACCCACACAAATCCTCTCAAGGATATCCAACCTTTAGGAATGGCGTATGCTAACACCATGACAGTGACGTATCCAACCAAAGAGTAGTATACTAACCCCTTTTCTCACGATATCCTGTGAGCGATAATGGTTTAGTCCTCGCAAGGCACTAACCCCACTACGAGTGATAGAAAAAGTTCAAACCCACAAGGAGTAAAAAAGCGTCTACACACTCCAAGATACCCGGTCAATAGTAGCCTATGTTTATCCAACAACCACACAAGAGATACAATACTAACAATTTTCTCAAATCACAAACAATTTCATCAATCCCCAATTTCACATGTAGTATTTCAATAGAACACGTGAAGAAAATGCAAGAGATCATCATCAATATAATTTTTGTACTCAACACAAAGAACTAAAATTTTAAAGTCAAGAACAAAGGAAGAATCAAGAAGAAGGTTCATCTCTTTTGAAAACTAGGGTTTTATATCAAGAAAATGAGATTTCATGGGTATTCAACTCTAACTTTGTTTAAAACACACTAATAATTGCAAAAAAGACCAAGGAAAGATGATTTTCTAGCATATATATAAGATTTAAAGTCAAAGAATACATATTTATTAGCCCTAGCATCAATGGACAAGAATGGAAGAAAACCCCTTACCTTTTTCCTTGGCTATGGTGTGAAGGACAAGAAAATTTGATCTTGAATCACCCTTAAAACTCTTGATTTCCCTTTCTCTCTTCCTATCTAAGTCTTTCCATTAGGGCTCTAAGAGGTGTGGGGTGAGAGTGGTGTGAAAGAATGGGAGTAAATGGAGTGAAAATGAGATTTTAAAACCGAAAATCCCGATTTTTTTAACGATCTACCGGTAGTTCAGATCCGCTGGCAACTTACTACCTGTTGAGCTACCGGTAGTTCGGATCCACTAGCCACTTACTACCTGTTAACTACCGGTAGTTCGAATCTACAGGACATTTACTACCTATTGACTACCGGTAGTTCGGATTCACTAGACAACGTACTACTGGTAGGTCCTACCGGTTGGTTCTGTCTAAATTTGTCTATTTCCTCTATTTTTTATTTCAAACTCATTCCAAACCCTTCCAAAATCAACTCAAACTTATACAACATACATTTATACATCAAACATAGTTGGTATAAGTACTATTGCAAATATTTTTATATATTTACAAGTCAAAACTAAGTTTGAACTAAAGATTTACCCCATTCTTCACTGTTAACATTTTTTATCTCTACTCTTACAATCTACTAAGTTCAATCATACTCCATTACGAATATTAGCATTTTAAAAACATAATTATGTTACAATATTTGATAATACGAATGTGGGAGTTTACATCATTCCTAAAGAATGGAGCATGAAACTTCCCTTCCATTTCTTCTCAAGTTTGAATCAAATTGGCAAGCAAATTTATGAACCAAGCAAAGGCTATTTTAGGCAAAGACTATGGAAACAGTTTCATTTTTAAATTGTCATTATTTCCAAATTTTCCACACTAGAAGGTGAATCTACCTATGTGTTTTGTGGTTGACACAAGCCTTTCAATCTTTTTTAGGCCAGGACTATACAAATCTTGAATCATTGTGACCAATTGATTGATGTTAAAAGCCATGTTATTGTGGCCTTCTGAATTTTCAAATTGGTCAAAGGGTTGCCCCTAGTCTTGGATTAAATTCCTCTATTGGTTTCAATGGAGGCATAGCATGTCTCTCACAACCCCTTCTAGGCAATTCAGGAGCCATCCTTCGACCATTTCTACCCCTAGGATTCCTTCCTAGGAAGAAACCCATCGAAAACCAAATTAAAGTGATTTTGGTGTGGTAGATCTGGTCCTTCGTTGGTTAACATTGGTGGTGGCATTTGGTTTTCCACAGGAAGCACAACAGGAATGGTGTTTCCTTCTTCCATCATTTGATTTTTAGTGATAGTGATTGTTTTTTGATTAATTAGTCCTGCCATTGGTGTCTAAACATTCATTAACTCATGCATAGCATTAATTACATCTTGTCTAATGTCAGAATTAGGATTAGGATTATGCAGTACCTGCTTCAAGTTTTGTACAAATTATTGCATCTGCAAACTATCTTGGTCACTGTTTGGCATCATTTACACAGTTTCATTAGTGTCAAATACAATTTCGTCTTGTTTCCTTGTTCGACCAATTTTCTTTATCCAAGTTACTAATGTTGTCCCACCGGACGTGTCAAAAGATTGTTACTCCAAAATCAGTTGGGATCGACGAATATATCTTAATAAACAAACAGCTTTCAGGCAATTGTTTGGAATTGGTTCAAATGTCTTGTTTCAAGATTTCCTTGGATGAAAAGACGATAAAAACTCAACCTGTGCAAGAATTAAACAACACAAATAGAGAATTGATAAAAGATGATTCCTTTATTAATTCAATCGAAGAGACTTCAATTATAAAAGACTGGATAAACAGTCTTGATTACAGACTAATTGCCTCCTAAAACTATTCCTAAGGATGCCCAAATCGTGGGTCATTTGGGGTTGGAGTGTATCATTTCTTCTCCACTAAGTGCCCTTTTATTGCCATTACCTTTGACGGTTTTGCTTCTGTCAACGAGTGTATCATTTCTTCTTCACTAAGATTGTAACCTCCAATTAGTTATTTCTCCCATTTCAAATATGATCGTAGCTGATTATCTCCCGCCTTCCTTCAGGTTTTGCCATGTGTGGCACCTCCTCAATTTATCTAGGATGTCAGGTGTTGATATACTGAATTTTCCTGTGATTTAATATTTTATTTTCAAACAAGTTCAGATCATTGACAACATCATCTTCTTTACCAAAATGTATGGATATAGTCTGTGGGGGAGCCATGAATTTGATTTTGAGGGGGCACTTTAATTACAAATTTTAGTTTTTTCTTATCCCAATCTTATATAAACAGAAAATACATTAATTATCACCTTTTATAAAAAGTGAGGCTAATTTTCATTTTGTAATTAAGAAGCTGTCACTCATCTATTGATCATTCGTTCATTAGTTTATGCAATCAATTTGTACAATCTTCAACTCTTTTAATTTATTTGATTCGCTATCTCCCAAACATTGTCATTGGGATATTAGAACAACAAATTTGCGAAAATAAAATTTAAGAACCAAGCATAATCATACTCCTAAAAATCAATTAAAATATAACAAATAAAACAATCATTAGTCAAAGAAAAATAGAGACGAGCTCTAGGAGAAAAATAAAAGTCAATTGCAAGCACTTTTAATTTAAAATTAAGAATATGGAATCAAAAAATTTGTGAATTTATAAACTAAGGTCAATTGCAAAAAATATAGCACAATATAGAACTTCCCTTCCAATGCACAATCGATAGAAACCTTATGCATTGGGTACATCGAAGCATAATGTGACACGTTAATTTGGGTTAACTGGATTTAGGTTGAGAAAACATCAACTTGGGTTTGCCTGGGAGGGGTACTAATGCTTTGTGACAATGAAGGTCTTGAAAGTACCCAAAAAAAAAAAAGCAAAGCAATTAGTTATGAGTTAGTTTAGCGAAAACCGTGATTTCTCAAAATAATATTTTTTCCCGCATGACCAAATTTTTTGCGCAGAAGGGCATTTTGTTTTCCCGCTAAATCTACATGACTCCTCTCGGTGCTCATCTTAGCTGGCTTTAACCACTCAAAGCTTTGCCTCTTGCTTCTCTACACGCCTTCTTAGGTAAGTTTTTCTTCCGTCTTTCAATTAATCTGTGTAGTAGAAATGCTACATACCGCAAGTATCATTTTCTCATTAGGGGTATATAAATAGATTTTTTTTCCCAATCAAAATTCTCATTGATATTTACAATAACAACAGCAGCTAAAAATTTATAGTATATATATGATATGTGTGAATAAGATATTATCAATTCGATAATACATAATTATGTGTCGACGAAAGCGTGATAATATTATTATTTACCAAACTAATGCCCTTCTCCCCCAAAAAAAAATCATAATTAAAAAAAATGAGGGATGGGGAGCAGAGGGTACAACACTACCCACTCAACTCAGTCGCATTGCTTCGCGTGTTGATTGATTAACTCATTGAACATACAACAATGTCATATCTACTAAAAAAATTTTATGCCAAATAAATGTAGACCAGGGGATCGGTAGGCTCCACAATTTTTAATCTCACAAATTTTTTATTTGTCGTTTTTATATCATGTTAACGAGTCATGTCATATTTTTATACCCCTAGTGCCAATTCTAAATTTTTGTGAGATTAAAATTTTTCACTAATAATAAGTGAGTGATCTATCAACAATAACTAAAATAAAAAATTTATATTAAAAGAAATCGAAGCGGAAGATACTTTAAAAATATATAAATATAAACTAAGCATAGAGACAAACTATGGCTCCCCTCTGACCATTAATATTTGCTATCGATTATTTTAAAACTGAAATACGATAAGAGTGCTGAAATTGGGCATATCCAAAAACGTAATGGGATTTTAATCACAGCTGCATAGAATAAGACCACAGTTAAATTGGTCAAATGGCATGAGAAAATCTAGGTCATTTGCCCTTCCAAGGTTAGAATGAGAATCAAAAATTTAGTCAACAACCAGACACATGTTAAACTATGTCTAGCCTGAAACCCAATCTAAGAATAGAATCCAAAACACAATCCTGTGCCAGAAAGTAGTATTACTTTGAAAGAATTACTATCTACACAACAAATTATAAGGACGTCAAATTCACAAATAGCAAGCCTAGAAGCACAATGCGAGATGATTGTACATAATTCATTCCAAACTACAAGCAGTCAATTTACAAAATTGTCTGCCATATATAGCACAAGTAAAAGCGATACCAAGGTAATATAGGTAGTGGCTACTGGTCCTCAAGAGGGAGGGACTAGAATCGATATGGGAATGGATGTCATGATCCAGCAAACCAAAAGGAATGCATGTAAGCTTCAAATATATTTACATTAACATTGTGTGCATGCTCCATTCGTGTTACCATGTGACATTTAAGAAGATGCCATCGTAAAATTTGTTGCAGATTTGAAGTAACCCGGTTGAAGAATAAGGAGGACACGCACACAAGGTTGTCTCTGCCTGTCTGATGTGAAGCTTTTTACTATAATCTTAGAATAAATTTGAAGTTATTAGAAGAGACTTATATCCTTCTGCAGCAGGGTTTCACGCTGCAACACTTGTTCCCCTGCACGGAAAAATGGATTGTATGTTTCCCAACGTGCCTCTGGGCTAAAGCAGCTCTTGAACTTGATGACCATGCAGTATATAACATTTCTACAACTTTTTCTGAGAATCCATTATTACTAAGATCCAGTAACTGCAACTGTTTCGCCATAGTAATAGAAGTTGAAAGCTCTTGAATGTATTGGCACTCCAAATTAGAAGGATTCTTTTGAGACGAGCTCATGCAACTGCCATCAAAACCAGATACGGCAGGGTCCACCCTGATTGGCTTATCTTCACTATCAGCAACTTCTAGGTGATTGCAGTCAGTTTTAGCTGTACACAATACCAGTTCAGCAGCTTGATCCTCCACTGGTGCTGATGCCTTCAATGAAGAGCCAAAAAAATTGAGATTTGTCTGCAGGGAGTTCGGGCTCTCTTTAGTTGTTATTAGGCTGTAGAGTGAAGTACTATCATTATCCAGACAGCCATTTTCTGCCAAGTTGAGCTCTTCAAGAAAGCAATTATCTGCTAATGCCTGAAGTATCCGAAGAACACCAAGAAGGCCAAGTTGACATTTGCGCAGGACCAAAACTTTTAAACAACAGTGAGGATTTATGAGCAGTGATGCCAATGCATTGCCACCCTGCATCCACACTTCTAGTCACGAACAAATAGAAAAAAAATTTGTTCATATTTAAATAATATCCACATAAAAATTTACAACCAACAAATTTCATTCCACCAAAACGCACATGAAACAACATATAAACTTGACAATGGCCAGTTCATAAATATTCAGACAACTTTATCAGTATGTTTATAGAGCCAGAATTGCTGGCAGTTTCTAACAACTTGAAGGTATTTGCCTACTTAATTGTAGTTTGGAACTGCAATTTATGGTAAATAATAACAATGAAAACAGAGATGTCAAAATCACTCTGCACACACTACCAGAAGAGTTCACATCAGATATGCTTGATATCTGATTCAGTCAAGATGTTAAGGCTAAGGCATCCCTTGGTAGGACCGCATACATAAATTCAGGATTTGAGAATTAGTGAGAGAATGTCAAAATGATAGAAACTAAATGAAATTAGATTTTAAGATGGCAAGACGAGCAGTGATAGAATTAGAAATGAAATCATTCGTGCGAACAAGAGACAGCATGAAGAATTTAGAAGCTCTGGAAAAGCCTGCTGGGTAAATTTATGCTTGTACTACCATCATTGACATACTGGTGGGTAGTGGGAGTTGAAGTACTTGCGAGCATAAAGAAAGCACCTTAAAAGGACAATAGATACGGTACTCACAAAAGATTAATTGCCTTATGAATTGATAGGAAAATGGACTCAGATTAACCACACTTAAATTGAATGTTAGTCTAGTGAAGCACATTTGCTGGAACTTAGAGTGGTACAGAGGAGAGGAGGGGGGAGAGTATGAACCATAAATGCTGCAAAGAATCAACATAAGATTAAACAGAAGACCGCCAGCTACTGTAACCAGTTTCATTGTCAGAAGGTTGGATTCTCAACTTGTTTCTATGGCCAAGTTTTGTTTCTCACTTGACATACCATGCATAGGCAAGGATCAAAATTTCTTTTTGAAACGGCCAAAATATATCCATTTCCATAGAAACCGAAACGAAAATAGAGATTGAATATCGAAATTCCAATGTTTTGAAGGGTTTCATAAGTTTTTGAGGGGTTTCAGAATTGAGGCGTTTCGAGATGTTTTCAGTATGTTCGACCAATGTTTTGGAATGTTTCGAGATGTTTAAGTGTATCTCAACCAATGTTTTCAGAAACAAGTTTTCAAATTTTTTATCCGTTTTCATTCTATTTCTGAAACATTTTCAAAATGTTTCTGTCCCGAGATGAAAGAAACAATGCATTGAAATGATGGTCGGACACAGGCACATTCGCATGCACTGATAATTTTGGAAGAATTAGACTATGTAGACAACTTTTGTTGGAGATCATTCATAACATCTACCGTCAAGTATGGTCATCTTCCCCATCATAAACTCCAATGAAGAAAGCCAGCTAATATGCTGACAGACAGTCTTCTGAAAAATTATATGTACTACAACAGGCAATGAATTGATATTCTGTTTCTGGGAAGCATTAAAACAGTTAGTTTATTCATATTGGCAGAATTGTTAAACCCCAAATATATCCAACCTCTACGAAATCCACATAGAGCACATGGAGAAATAGGATTCATGTAGCCAATCTCAAAAAGTTGAGATAAAGGATTTGTTGAGGTGTTGGGCACAAAGGTAACCAAAATAGGTGAAACTTTACATTATTGGGCTATGTATGAACTTATTTGCTTGTTATTTTACCCAATCTGAGAGAGCATATACTCTCTGCACTCTGCATTATGTAAAGCTACTAGACTAAAAACTAGCAAGAGCAGACATAACATACATTATATGATCAAAAGCCTAAAGCATGAAATAAACTGAAAAAACAAACCTCTTGCATGATGGGATTTCCTCCAAGATTCAGTTCCATAATGCTACTGATCAAAGAAACTTCAGTATTGAGTCTGACAATGCATTGAGATACCAGTCCACAAGTTGATAGATCAAGCTTCACCAATTCTGGAGCCCCACTGGACAATGACTCGATTAACTGCAATGCACCATCCTGCAGAAAGACAGTCAAGATAGGTGGGACAAAAGAACAGCTCTGATAGAACCCATCAACCAAAGGAAAGATAAAATAAAATACTCACAGTTCCGATGCTAGTACCCCCCAGCATCAACCCTGACAAACATGAGGTTTTGGATAGTTTGCAAAGGCTATCTATAACAGACTTGCTTAGCTTTAAACCATCCAGATTCAATTCTGAAAATCTAAAAAAATTAAAAAGTAAAACTTATGAATTTGCTGCATTCCAATCCATAGGGACATCTTATCTCAAACAATTGCACCATCTAGGGGAAGCAAAAAGAAAACTAAATCGAATGGACTACCTCTTTAAATTTGCAAGTTTAGCCAATAAATTCATTAAACTGCTGCCAGATATAGGGTGGTTGTATCCTGTTGAAGTAGAACATGTCAGAAACTCTACTAAGGAATAATCAATTCTTCTGGATGTAGCATCAAAACTTGTCTGATCAAAAGTACCTAAACACATTTGCGTCAGCACTGATCCAGAATCCAGTGAATCAGCAACCTTCTGAATTGTTCTAGATGTAATAGAACAGTGTTCTATATTTAAGCTATAAAGGGCTGCAAAAAGAAGAGCATCCATAAGAAGAGGGAGAAAAACAACTTGAGAATCAGCATGCCTAATGCAACCATATTAGAAACAGAGGCGCTGAACTTTTATTAGGTAGTAAGATCCATTTACACCCGGGGAAAGAACAATAGCCTGTACGCCTCAGTTACGTTGTGCAGGTTTCACCTTTCCTCAATCTAACTATTGAAATACTCTATTGCACTTTGAAACACATTAAATATTAAGTTAGCCTCAAGTGTTAGAACTTGTCTTACATTATAGTATAGGGCTCCCAATCGTATATGAGCCTTGTGACCACTCTAGTAATGGCCAATTGATATATAGCCAAGTCTTGCATCATTTAACTCATCCAAGAGAAATATTGCCTTTTTAGGTAGTGATTGTGGAGGTTTCCACATGAACAGGATCTCTTGTGGCATGATGTGATCAAAAGAAAATATGGACTCCATCCCAACGGGTGGAACTCGAATGTGGTGCTTAAGGGTTCTCATTATCCTTGGAAATTAATTTCACAGGGTTTAGATAGTTTATGGAGAATGGTGAGAAAATCGACTTTTAGAAATAAATGGAAGAGAGATCTTGCTTTTGCATTTTTATATCCTTGTCTTACTATATGGTGTCGGTATCATTTGGAAGTATGTATAATGCATCTTCTCTTCAAGTGGGATGGGATTTCAATTTCTTTTGGAGTATTGAATAATGGGGAAAAGTTTGAACTTTCACATTTGTTGTCTTTCATTCAACAAGTCTCTCTGGTGTCGGGATTGCATGACAAGAGGTTATGGTCATTGATTCAGGGTATTTTTTGGAGTAAATCTTATTTCCATCTTTTGATTGATAATTCATCTTCTTCAATTTTAGAACACCATTGGACATTTGGAAGCAACAGTGCCTATTAAGGTGTTGGTGTTTGCTTAGACTATGACTCATGGTAAGATCAATAATTATGAATTGTTGCAAAGGAGAAGGCAGAATACTTGTCTTTCACCTCAACGATGCACAATGTGAGAAAGTGTGGGTCACGTCTTTATCCATTGTTCTTTAGCTTTGAAACTGTACTGTAATGTAAAGCTTATGAATAGTTTAGCTTGAGTAGGGTAACTCCAAGAGATTTTCTTTATTAATCATGGTATTTTGGGAAAAGGATATAGAGCTCTCCTATTATAGGAATATGGGGTTGCGAATATTATTTGAGTGGTATGGATGGAAACAAATAAAATAAATTTTTATGAGAAGGAAGAATACATCAAGTTTCCATGTGACAAAGTAAAGTTCTTAACCTCCCTTTGGGCAATGGTATCTAAAGGATTAAGGATGTGCCATTTTTCCCTTAAGTATAGATAGGATCACCACATGTAGTTAGATGATTAAACTCTAATGGTTTTAGTTTGTATGGCCCTTTAATTTCCTTTTGTTCGTTTTTGTGTAGATTCTTGCCCACTTTGTTGTAATATTTTCATACTTTAATGGAAATTATGTTTCTTGTAAAGAAATATCTCTCACAATTGCATCAGAAACAACCATAATTTAGAGTGTAATGTCGATAAGGGTCATAAGGCAGTAATTAATCTTCAATTGATCTACTACGGGCAGTAATTAATCTTCAATTGATCTACTATGGGCACACATGATAATATCACAGCGGGGCACCGCCGCACCAGTTACAACTGCTCAATTGAAAAATGTATCCCAAAGGAAGATATGAAAAATGTACAAATTATTGTTCTTGCGAAAATTTTAAGTGAATCCTGCCACCCTCAATCGATAAAACTTCAATTCAATCAATCCTTGTCTCGACTAATTGGAAATAAACTAACATTAAATTTTGTGGATAAAGTACAGTATAGTTATCACACCACGACCATATTTTTTGCACAGTAGTGGAACTAAATAATCAATAAAAACAGCAGAAGTCACTTACCTTTGCAATTTTGTAAGATAGTTGAAAGGTAAGACGCACATGCATCAGTCAAACGGTTTCCAGAGATGTTAAGGACTTCTAACCGAGCAAATAGCACAGGGCATTCGCAGATCTGTATGTTAGGATAAGAGAATGTATCGTGAAGCAATTCAAAAGGTTTTGTTATTCATACCATATTTCCTGATCTCTGAAGATTATCAAATATCTCAAGTGTTCTACCTGTGATAGGGCTTTTCCCTAAAGTAACATGACTCTTGAGAGCATATCAATTACCACATCCTAATTGTTATGAGTAAACCACAAACAAGTATAACTAAAGAAAAATACAGGACACCCGAAATTACGTAGTTCGGCTCAAAAGTATGCGTTCTCAGGCAAAGTTGATCAGTACAAGTTCACTATCAAATATGAAGATTACAAAAGCCCTCAGGAACAAAAGCTAGAAAACTACTCCAAAACTGGATGCCAAAAACTAGAGTGGTCAATAATCAATATCTATTTTGCGATATCTTTACTAGCAAATAAATAATAGATGGTGCTAAATTTATTCTTGGGGTTGACTTATAAGTTATAGAAATATTAAAGTAAATATTGGGGTTAAATATAATTGTAAAAACTCAAGATGAAGGAACTAACAAGAGAATGAGAATTGCATGAAATGTGCTACGTGTAGGCTTGAATGTGTGCACATGGCATGTAAATAGAAGGAATGACTGCATGTGCCCTAATATGGTTAAGCCCACATGTCCTTTACCATGTAAGTGTACTATAGTACAATGCACATTCCCTAAGAGAAATAGGAGAGTGGGAATTTGTTCATGTGTTTGTAGGTATGGTGCTTGCAATGTGTAGATGAGCAGAAAAGAGGCAAAATGTAACAAAAAAAGAAAAGAAAATGGACAGGAAAGTGAAAGGCAATTTTTGAGTTTTGATGTGGAAATCAAATGGTGAAACAGTTCGATTGAGATGAAATTGAAAGACTCTTCATCTCTAGTAGTATGCATATCACTGGTTCAATTGAAGACCTGATAAGTGTGATTATTCATAAGAAGCTTGCATCTTGAATCTCTTTATGCTGATTATCATAAATGTGTAATCCTCTTAATTATGCTGTAATTGTCACAAAATAGAATGAACTCCTGTTGATTTGTTGGTTGTGTTCCCTGACAACTTGTCTTGGGTCAATTTGGTACTTGCACAACGTGAACCCATAAGTAAGTTGCCATTAGTCAACAGTCTAAATGCCAGTATTACCAATGCCAGAGTAATGTGATGAGGTGTGGTGAGGTTGAGTGTCACTTGTGTTGTTACTGAAATGCTGAGTATTATCTAGTTAGCTCTTGTGACACAATTGCTTCAATTAATTGTTCTTTGATTGAATTTTTGGATTCTTCAATAATCATCTTGAATCATTTTCACTCCTATCACATTATGGATTTGCTTACTGTGTCATCCAGTTCATTCCCATATTCACCCTCAGGTACAAATTAATTTCAAAACAAAAATTGAGAACGGCACCAAAATGTTAAAAATTAGAGATTTTGGGATCATTCATATTTTCGTGCAAATTTGTGACCTTGGAAATTGTGATTTGGTTAGTGGAAGGGTTAATTATATACAATCTTCAAAAAAATTAGAGCTTTGATATGTATAAATGGACTGAAATCTTCAGACTTATATCAAATAACGTTTCGGGTGTTAGACTGTCCAATTCAAAACCAATTGACACCGAGTCGAGAGGCTCTTTAAGCCTGCAAACAAACCTTGGTCGGTCCTAATCATTCGACACCCTCTCACGTGGAACAAACAAATAGACAAGCAAGTTGTTGTGGGTGTCTTGTATTTCACACATAGTAGGAAACTGGTTTGGACTATGTTCTTCTTAGGGATTTGAAAAAAGTGGATATCCTGAAATTCCACTTCAATTAAAAGACCAATTGAAAACCCTATTGTTTTAGGAAATAATTTTTTTTGGGTTTATCAATAGATTATAGACCACTCAATTTCTTTTAGGAATTTTGGTTTGTAGTTTTGGGCATCCATGTTAGGCTCTATTATCTAGGTTTAGAGAATTTTACATAATCTCTCTTTGTAGATAGTGAAACTTCGTCGCTGCGCTTTGCCTGTGGATGTAGGCTTTCAAACCAATCCATGTAAATTGGTTTTCTGTATTTTTCTATTTTGTTCAGTTTATTTGTTTGTGGCTTTTGTACATAACACACGCATTCAGAAAAATTCAAATTGTTAAGAGACTTGATTCACTAACCACCCAAGGCTCAGCGCTGATTACACATTAGAGCATCTAACTTAAAATCACTTGGCGATGAGTAGAGAGACCCCTTAAGCATATAAACCAACCTTGGAGGGCCCTAATCATTCAATATGGGATACAAGCACTCTCTACATTTGGAAACTGGGGTGTTACATATTTATGGGGAAGAAAAACAAGATTTTTCCTCCACTAATGAGTAGGAACTAACTGACCTCATAAAATCAATCTTTATGGGATAATGATAGTGTTATGTCTTTTATAGAAGAATTAGGAATTTAGACATTATCAACCACAGATGAATTTACAACAACAGACGAATTTACACACTAGCTCTGTTTCTTAATTATAGCCTCGTAGTCCACTATATAGGCAAGGCACAGCCTTGTGAAAATTAAAAGATCTCCAGTGGAAGTTTTACACTTGGAGTTCATTCAGGTGTGAACGTTCTTATGGATCGCTAAGAACTTCCAAAAGAAATACAAGGAAAAATGCTTGAATCCCCGTTGGAGAGAGATTGTTCATTGAAGAATAAGAAACTAAGTCATGGGACGCCCATCTGAAAGACTTTTATTTCAAGTATCTCAATTAACAAGGTCTTGGCCTTGTCTATGTAAGCAACAGCCTTCCAGTGTGTCAGCAAGGCTATTACTCAAACCATGATAAACAATAAGAAAAAAAATCTGCCACTTCAAGCTTATGGGAATATCAAGGGATACAGACCTGAAATAAAGCAGTTGGCCCAAAGTGGTTGCAGTGCAAATCCAAAAGCAAACCACCATAAGTTTGACCCACCGAAGTAAATAGCTGTTGAAGTTTCTCCATTGTTCCATTGCCTGGGAGATAGCAAACACATGGATAACTAATACTAGCTAGATGAATTGCAAATACAATACTAATGAAGTACCAGAAAAGCACTTGTTAAATCGAACACATAGAGAAATGAAGAAAATAAACACTGATTAAGAAACATGCAAGTAAATAGCTAGATGTGTTTTGTTCTCCAGAACTAACGTATCATAATTGAAACAAAGGGCATCCAAACTATTCGTCATTACCTAACAAATTGTGGGAAATATTTAATGCAGCAACTGTCTTGTGCGCATTCAGGGCATTCAGTAATGGTGTTGCCGATAAGTCTTGCAAATCACAATCAGACACAATGACTTCATCCTCTGAAAGCTGGAAAAAATAAAGGGACAAGTAATAAAAACAGGCAAGCCTCAAAATACATATTTTAGTCATTTATGATACTATGATGGTATACAATCCACTAATCCAGTAGCCTTTCCCCAACAGTTCCACGAAAGAAATTCCAAAGGTAAATACTTTTCCTCAACATAAAGCTGCACCAAACCTCTACTGTTACCTCTAAGTTATATAACTTCTTTATCAATTTGAAATTGGGTGGCTCCTCTAGATCCTTGCAACAGTCGATGTACAGTTTCATCAAACGCTTTTGTACCCATCCTGGAAGCAGATGAAGTTATTTTCATCATACTACTTGAAAAACACGATAGATTCAAGTAAAATAGAGCACAAGTATTACACTGAATGAATTGAGCCTGAAACTCATACGTCCAACTATGCATGTGACTGTTAAATTACAAGAACCTCAGCTTCATTATTGTGGCTATTTACACCATTTTTTATAAAATTTTGGAGGTCGTATGTTCCCATATGAGCAACACCTATCTACTGGAGACCAAAAAAAAACAATTCTTCAACTCAACATACGAAAACCACCGGCAGTCACTCACTTCAAGACTTCAGAGTTAAGTTTAGACATATTCTCAAGAGCATCTAAAGAAATCTATATTCTCAAGAGCATCTAAAGAAATCTCATAATGCTTTCACTACCCCGAAGCATACAGTCATTATTTAAAATATATTCAAACTGTAAGAATCTAATTTTTTATTTCTTTTGAAGAGGACTTCAGAACTGACTTTCCTTTGTTCGGCACACTTCCTACCTACTTTATTTCTCATCAAATGTAGCAAGATCAAAATTAACTAAGTAAATCACAGCCAAATAATTTTTTAAACTGTCATATTCTCTATCTTTAGTTATCTCCGCTGGCCCTTGACATCTGTTCAGTCTGGTTTCCAGGACTCGGATGTTAAAATTTCCTTCTCTCCAGCATTTAAATTTATGTTTTTTAAGTTACTATCCTGAACTTTTATCATCTGAAGGGATTTAATTACTGCACTAGGAAACTCAAGTCCAAATCATCATTCTTTCTCTTTCTTCATTGGACCCCTGATTCCAAATGCCTATCCAACACTAAGAAGCAATAGCCACCATGAAGAGGAGTGCTCACTAAGAGCAAAAGGCCAAAATCTCTCCACCTTTTGCAAAAGTAACAAACAGCAGGTAAATTTTATTAAAACATCCAACCCAAAATCAATTGATAATGGATGAAGTACCCCTCAAATATATAAACCAACTTTGGTGGTCCTAATTATTTAACGTAGAATACAAGCTCTCTTCACAAATTGCACTATAAATGACAGGGTTGGTAAGAAAGTTGAAGTAATTAGTCCGTTATCTGTAAAAACGCAGGCAATCATGTCATCAAGTCAGTGATGCTTGGAAAAGAACCTAATGCTAGAGAGATGCCTCAACTCAACTCAACAAAGCCTTAATCTCCACTATTTGGGGTCAACTACATAAATCATGTTTCTCCCTTGCATTCTATTAAAGATCATATGTTACATTACTTGAAATAACTGTGAGTGGAAAAGTGACATAAACTAAGTGTAGAGTCTCGTATATATAGTCAACCAATAAAGTCACAATAAGGATAAAAAAGTAAAAACAAGGCAAAAAAAAAAAACCCTAATAACCTAGGTTATAACTGCAACACTCCCCCTAACGCTAGACGCAAAAATATCAACTAAGTCAAGTTTGACAATCAAGTCCTGAAAAATGGATAGAATGACAAGTTTGATAAAAATATCCACAACCTGATCATTGATTCCCACAAACAATGGAGTGACAATACCACAGCTAACCTTCTCCCGAATAAAGTGAACATTGATCTCTATATGTTTTGTCCACTCGTGTAGTACAGAGTCAAAAGCGAGCTGAATAGCAGGTCGATTATAACAATATAATGTGGATGGAGAAGTCACTGAAAATCTCAACTCGCCAAGAATCGATCACAGCCAAATAATCTCACACGTGTCAAGTGTCAAGTGTCAGTGCTCGATACTCTGTCTCTGCTAATGAGCGAAAGACAACTGCATACTTCTTGCTCTTCCAAGAGATAAGATGAGTCCCTCAAAAAGTACAGAAGCTCGTAGTAAATCGACTATCACATGCTCCCCCATAATCTGAATTTGAATAATAGGTCAAAGAACCAGTCTGAGATCCTGATGCATAGAACAACTCAAGTTCAAGATAAGAATTGAGGTACCAAAGAATATGATAAACTGCATCAAGATGAGACTGATACGGCCTGTGCATGAACTGACTAACTCGGCTGACAGCAAATGAAATATCTGATCTAATGTTGGCTAAGTAGATAAGTCTACCTATCAACCTCTGATCGACAGTTCTCTCAACTCCACACCTTCAACAGTAACCTTTAGGTTTGAAATCGTAGGTGATGAGGTCGGTTTTGCACTCCAACATCCCAGTGTCTGAGAGAAGATCTAGAACATATTTTCTCTGAAAAAGAACAATACCTCTGCTACTACGGACAACCTTAATCCCAAGAAAATATTGCAGAAATCCAAGGTCCTTCACATTGAAGACCTTCCCAAGGTCTACCTTGACCTGTGCAATCCCAGAAACATCATCCCCAGTAATAATAATATCATTAACATATACCAAAAGAATTACACATTATCCAAAAGTATTTTGTCGAATAAAATAGGTATGATTAGAATGACATCTGGTGAACCCAGTGTTATTTAAGGCGTTAAGCGAACCGAAGCGATCAAGGCTCTTAACGCCTAGGCGAGAAGCGAGAAGCGAAGCGAAACGATTTACCAAAGCGAAGCGAGCAGTTAAAAAAATAAATAAATATTTTAGTGTAATTACTTATACACATCAAAGTTTTAATTTTATATATACTAAATATTTAAATACAAGTAAAACCATAAACATTTAAATTAAAATAAACACTAATAATATTGCAAATCTTAATAACAGTCATAGTTTAAACATTTAAATTCATACAAATACTAATAATATCCCAAATCCTAATATTTAAAAACATAAGACACATAATTCAAGCAACTAAAGCAAATATCTCAAGGACTTAGAAATCAATCCTCATCACTAAAGAAATCATCTTCTTCATTATCCTTAGATTCATATCCCTCAGTATCCTCCTCCTCTGCCTCATCTGAAATTATGTCTTCCTCATCTGTGAGTCCAGTCGTCGATCTTGTAAACCTTGGTGTTACCCTAGTAGATGGTATTGATCTAGTCCGTTGGCTACTTTCCGTAACTGCAGAAGCTCGAGCGACTTCGCCCCAAGTCAAAGTATCATCACCAAACACAAGCTCATTATCTTCATCTGTGTCTGCATCCATTCTCCCAATCAACCACTCATTGCTATCATCAATATCCTTCAAAGATATTGGATCAATTGTGTCACGAGAATCATATCGGCGCCTCAAAGCTCTATTATACTTAACAAACACCAAATCATTGAGACGGGATTGAGCTAGTCTATTTCTTTTTTTGGTGTGTATCTGCAATAATTTATTAACAATACATTAAAATTTATAATAAGATTAAAAAAAAATGTAATTGAAGAGGTTTGAGGATGATACTTACATGCTCAAACACACTCCAATTTCGCTCACAACCGGATGCACTACAAGTAAGGTTTAAAACTTTTTTTGCAAAGGTTTGCAAATTTGGAGTTGCAGACCCATATGCACTCCACCAATCAGCTGTGAATAATGAATAACAATTAATTAACTAACATATTTAAGCAATGATAATGAAATAAGCTTGTGGGATAACATAGATTACCTGGTGCCCTAGTTGTTCTTTGTCTAACCGCCATGGGCAACTTAAAGAGGTTTTCACCTTTCATGTAAATACTCAACTCTTGACCAATTTTATCTTGGTATCGCAGGATTTGAGACCAACTTTTCCAAACATTTATATAGGCCATTCATGACTTCTTGATCTTTCTCAACCTCTGGATTGGAATAGAAAAACTCTGGGTTCAAAAAATACCCAGTTGCATGCAAAGGCCGATGCAATTGAACTTCCCACCTTCGGTCAATGATTTCAAATATGTGTTTGTACTTCTCTTCATTGCCATTAAAAGAATTAGCAATCGCTTCTTTAGCCCGGTCCATAGCTTCATAAATGTACCCCATGGGAGGCTTTTTCTCACCATCAACCAATCGAAGTACACGGACAAGAGGGTCAATAAGCTTAAGAGAGTAGACAACATTACTCCAAAATGAAGACATTAAAATGATTTGTGTTGTCCTTTTGCCTTGTTGTTCTTTTGCCCATTTGCTTGTAGTCCATTCCTCTGAAGTGAACATTTTTCTCAAGTTACCTTTTTGTTGGTTGATCCTTGTTAGCGTAAGAAAAGCCGTAGCAAATCTAGTTTTTGCGGGCTTAATCAACTCCCTTGACTGGGTAAATCGTCTCATCATATTCAACAGAGTTGGACGGTTATAAATATAACCGTGTAATGCTATTCCTCTTTCAAATGTTCTCTTGAAGTTTGGCAATTTGAAGATATCTTCCAATACCAAGTCCAAGCAGTGGGCAGCACATGGCGTCCAATATAGATTTGGTCGTTTTGCCTCCAAAAACTTACCTATTAAATAAAGATTTTTTTACCAACTAGTGTGCATAAAAAAAATTCAATATAACAAGTAGTTATCTTTTTTTTTTTTTTCAAGAAGCTCATACCTGCTAACACATTTGCTGCCGCATTATCAGTGACAATTTGAATCACATTAGCTTCACCAATACGCTCTACAAAATTATCAAGCAATTCAAACATTTTTTGCCCATCCTTTGAGTATGCAGAAGCATCAACAGATTCAAAGAACATGGTCCCTTTTGGACAATTCACTAAGAAATTAATCAAGGTTCTCCCTCTCTTGTCAGTCCATCCATCAGCCATTATGGAATATCCATATTTTGCCCAATCCTCTTGGTGATCTTTCATCAATGACTTTATATGCCCTACTTCTTTTTTGAGCAATGGGACCCGAACCTCATGGTAAGAAGGGGGTTTCAAACCAGGACCATATTGTCCAAAAGTTTCAACCATTGCTGCAAAACTTTCATAGTTCACAACATTAAAGGGAATTCCCGTGTCATACATCCATCGGGCAAATGTTGTGATGGCTCTTTCTCTCATTTCCTTTCTAAAATGATCGCTGGCATCAATATTCGTTTGTCTCCCCTTGGTCTTTCGATTTTGCACCACAACATTCGGATCAGGGGTGAAGTATACATCCATAGGCCCTTTTTGT